CCTAGTTGTAACGCTCTGCTTAACCACACATGCACTAATGCACACATGCACTCTCACACATGCCACCAACATCAGCAGCTGATATACCGTGTTATATATGTATATGGTGAGGTATTATATGTTGGCGTACGTTTTCCCTAAAGCCTGGCGCACATTGCAACATTTTTTCCCGAACAAATGTTCGTCCGAACAAATGTTTTTTGTCTGACAATGTTGCGAGTGGACAATTGCTGAGCGCACATTGCGACATTTTGCCAGCGAACAATCTGTAGGGCGTCTAGTAGCTGTGCCCTGTTAAAGAGCTTCAGTGTTGATCGGCACATTGAATGGGCACAAAAAATCATGTGACCACATATTCGTCGCTGCTATTGGTTACTACTTTTACAAATTGTTCCCTAGAATTGTTCGAACATTCAGCGCACATTGACGAACATTCGAAACGAACAATGGTTTCGCTAGATATCCAACATTTCGATCTTCAGAAACATTGTTCGGAACAACATGTTCCGGCGACTTTTTTCACCGCAACATTGCCGCAACATTTCAATGGAACATTGCCTACGATAATGTTTTTGAGCAAAATGTTCGGCAATGTTGCGCCGCGGCTTAACTCGCCCCGGCTTCTGCTAGCATATTCGTTGTTCTCTTTCTCTCTCTCTCTCCTCTCTCTGTCGCACTCTCTCTCTCTTTCTCTTCTATCTATCTTTCTTTCTCTCTCTCTCTCTCTCTCTCTCTCTCTCTCTCTCTCTCTCTCTCTCTTCTCTCTCTCTCTCTTCTTCTCTCTTTCTCTCTATCTATCGCTATCTTTCTCTCGCTCTTCTCTTTCTCTTTCTATTTCTCTCTTCTTTTTTTTCTCTCTCTCTCCCACTTTCTTGTCACGTAGCAGAACAAGCGAACGCCGCTAACAATTGAATCGGTCTCTCTCTCTTCTCTGCAGGAGTACGTCTTTCCGGACGTGAAGGACAGACTGTGGCTGCGAGGTTTCTACTCCGGCGCGCGCCGAACGCTCGACACCGATCGCTACAACTGGCCTTCGCAACGAGATCGCCGCGCGCGACCTCTGACTCGAGCGTCTGCGCGACCCGCTGCAGCTGGAGCTCCCTGTACAGCAGCTGACAAGAGAGCAGGTCGAGCTGAAACAAAAGAGCAGTGACGATGCGCAGTAGTGCGGGGGAGAGGGGGAAGGCGAAACCGGGAGGAGGGAAGGGGAAGATGATCGGGGGAGCCTGATGAAAGGATAGCCGTGAATAGCGAAGAGAAACTCTCACGATACACACGCTCGCGCGTGCGTACGTACGCGTGCATGCGTGCATACACGCGTACACACACATTTGTATATACAGTCGACCCTGTACGTGAGAGACACTGGAACGAAACACGAAAAAATCATCCTCTGTGAGAAAGTGTTCTTTTTATAGGAATGGTTGCCGTTCCTATACAGGTGTCTGCTGATGCGAGGTTGGCTGCGTATATTATTATATTATATATATATGTATATATATATATATATATATATATATATGTATGTATATATATATATATATATATATATATATGTGTGTATATGTGTGTACATGTGTAATAAGTAAATGCATAAATGCACGTCCGTGTGTCCCCTCAACGGACACACACATAGCAGGATCATTTGTGCGTGATAGAACATGGTCACTGCTCGACTCTCTCTCTCTCCTATGGCTCAGAGCGACGCAGGGCAGGACAGACAGACAGACGAACGCGCGCGTGCACACAGGTCACGTGAGTTGTCTCGTGCGGCCGGTCGATTTGTAATAAATGTGATGTTGACGAATTGCGATCATAATGCTGTTTTTTCTTAGACCTAATAATAAATTAATAATAATAATGTTTAATATTGTTAAACGTTACCTGACTATTATCATGCCAGTGATCACATGAGGGTAATATATACACATAATTATATATATATATATATATATATAATTATGAGTATATAAATATGTATGTAGTGTATATGTATATATATCAGGGTTCTCCAGGAGCACTTATAGCCTGGCGGCCCGCTAGGCTATCGTCGAGCCCTGCCATCCTAAAATCCTCCTGCCACTTTAAATATCATAGCCCCCGGACTCCCCTAGCACGCAAACCGCCGTCGGCGATTTGCAACTAGGACCGTAAAGGCAGCACCCGCTATGCTATAATGAAAAAGCTTGGAGAACCCTGTATATATAAATATATATATATATATATTATTGATTATTATATCACAGCTTTTTATATTTTTATGCGTATTGCTCTACAAAGGTTAGATTATGTGTGTCGAAACAGTGTGACAATGTGAATGCATTTTGACGAACGATAGCTCAGCATACAAAGCAGAGACCATGTACAGTTAAACATGCATATAGCGACCACTCAAGCAAAAGTGGCCTTTGTGTGCAGGTGGTCGTTCCATAGAGGTGGTCGTTCTAACACAGTGTTCGAATGTACACAAGCTGCGGTGTGGTACAGGGCACATTATCTTGCTCTCCATATCGCGGAGTCGGTGGTTGTGGCCCCTCTCTCGCTCGCTCTCCCTCTCTCTCTATCTATCTATCTATCTCTCTTCCTTCCATCCCCCTCACTCCCTCTCTCTCTCTCTATCCCTTCCACCCGCCCTCACTCTCTCTCTCTCTCCCTTCCATCCCCTCACTCCCTCTTTCTCTCCCTTCCACCCCCCCTCACTCCCTTCCACCCCCCTCACTCCCTCTCTCTCTATCCCTTCCACCTCCCTCACTCCCTCTCTCCCTCCCTTCCACCCTTCTCCCTCGTGCTCTCACTCTGTCTCTATTCTCCTCTCTGCTCAATATTCAGCAATGTTACTCTGAGATTACATGTTCCCTCGAACTAAACGTTAACGGCCATGAACGTACTAGAAGGGCCGATTGATATATAACTAACTTGTAAACGTTTATCTGTCTGCTTCGGCGACGGAATCATCAGGGGGGAAAGTTTTAGAGTTAGATTAAATGCATTACTTCTTACATCTGTAGATTGTCTCTCTGTTTTTATATAAACGAGTCCTGCCCCCCCTAAGCGTGCGTGGTTCGATGTGCGGTTGAACGGAACTCTTCGGTCTGTAATGTGTCAACTACCGTCGACTCGCACGCTAGCGCCATCTACAGCTGGAATGTGTCAACTAGGTGAGCGGGAACGACGCCGATTAATTAAACCATTAAACCTCTTAATTCTTAATCCTAATCATAATCCAGCTGCACGTAATTTACGAGCAGAATTTTCGATACACTACGATGCATTTACGAGAGGGAGGGGCCGAGCGCCGAGTGTCTGCACTCGAGTGCGCGCGGTTACCGACGACGCGCCGGTCGGCAACGGTACCCCCGCTCGCGAGGTCGTCAAGGCGACGAGTCGCCGTGGTTACGATCTACTTCCTTGTCCGTTCAATTCGAGCACGACGCACGCCCGGAATCGTGGGGGGGGGGCAGGCGGGTACGTTAGCGATGTGCATATGGAACGATGGGAGGCGGAGTCATAGGCAGCTTTGTTACATACACGTCGACCGTCAAGTGATATTGGGGAGTTGAGACTGCGCGGAGAGCGAGCGCAGTTATTGCCTTTGTTGAAATAAAATATTCGTATTTAACTTCGACGCGCTGTGTTGGAGATGTGTTCGCGTGCGGGTTGAAGATACAATGTATGTAATGTTACGTTACACGAAAATCTCCAGCGATAAAAAAACATTTTCTATTCAAATACGTGTTTTATTGTCACTTGTGGAAGTCGTATAACATCGTTCGCAGACTTGAAGTTATGTGTTTCACTACCGATGATTACCGTGCAGTGTAGATATTACACGTGAATCTACTTGCAATTTCCTCCCACAGGTGGCAGCACATATCATGCTGAAGCTTCGAGGCAGTTGCTAGATTACTGATGTTTCTCTGCTTCTTACCCAGATAGCTAACTGCCTACTGTTCAGACAGCTCATCTCTCCATCACTCACATGCCGCTCTGTAAATTCGTTTGCCATTTTCACTCACTGAAATTCTCACTTTTGCCAGCGAAAGCGGTGTATCTCTCTCTCTACCAGGAAGTGGCAAAACCTCTACCACTGTCCAACCTCCTCCAGACTGGCTGGGGCTTCTCCCATGTTCCTTCTCCCTACTAGCTGAATGGGGCTTCTCCCACGTTCCTTCTCCTTACTAGCTAAATGGGGGTTCCCCCACGTTCCTTCTCCCTCCAGACCAGTAGAGGCTTCCTTTTCTTCCTCTGGACCGGCGGAGCCTCTCCCACTTCCCTCCCTCCGGGTGGATCGCTGGTGGGCACGCCTTTAGACTGCCGCGCCGGCGCTATGACGCTAGCAGGGAGTCGAAGTCGGGGCTGCAGACTAGGCGGTGGCGGACGTGGCCTAGGATGGCGATGTCTCCCGGCTTGTCGGTCGTGTTGATCGAAACCA